GTGTGTGTGTGTGTGTGTAATATACACATATGTGTATACTGTATACACATATGTGTATATTATGTATACAGTATACATAATATACACATGTGTATAGGTGTGTATACGTGTGTGTGTGTGTATACACGTATGTATATGTATGTAAGTGTGTATATTATTTTATTTCAATACATTTATTCCAGAAATAAATGTATTAACTTTTCTAGAAAGCCTCCATCACGCGAAATACAAAAACTGATAATATATAGCGGGCAAAAGCTTTTAGGAAAGTCTTCCCTGTGATGGTCGCGTTGACAACGTATCCACCAATCACCGATGAGGGTGTCCCCCTCCCTCATACCGGCTGATCCAATCGCAACCAATAGAATTGTAATTCTGCTGCACAGTTTGATGACGACATCGGAACTGTCGTTTGAATGTTTTTGTGTGTGTGTGTGTTTGATGATAGGACAGAAACAACAATTGGTGCTTCTGCCTTACATTAGCCTTTAATTCGATTTATATTCCGCTTTAGTAACGCTGACTCAGGCGGTAAGTTTTAAGAAGCGGTAAACGCTTTCAGGTTTTGTTTTTAGGGAGTAGCAGCCAACACTTGGAAGATAACCGCTATCTGGGCGTTTTAAAGCCGTATTTCTATTGCAGTTAGCAGCTATCAAGGAAAGGAAAGCGTTCATTTGTGACGGCTACCTAAAGCTTTCCTCAGGCAGAGTTTCCCTGAATACGAACATCATCAGTGTAGTTGAGGCTAAGCTTAGTTTAAAGAGCTCCACCTTTATTAAAACACAAAATAAAGTTAGTCTAAGGTCCATGAGTTAGCCTTCTGGAGGAGAAAGGTGATGTCTGAGGTCAGGGATAAGCTGCAGGAAGGCGAGGCAGGTGTACGCGGTGAGCAGCCATTTCCTGACCAGGTGAGGAGCACTGAAGCCACCAGGCCTGACCTGCATGGGTGAGCCTCACACAGTCAGCTGGGTTTTCATGTGGCACAGTGTCATGAAGAAAATAATTAATCTGTGTTTATCTAATCTTCTCAGTCTGCTGACCACCAGCCACTCATCCTCAGCAGATATCAGCCCCTCACCTTCAGCTGAGTCCAGTGGCTTGTTGTCCTTGCCATGGGAGATATTAACCCACATTGTCTCATATCTTCCTGTTCACTTTGTAGTCAACGTGCTGCCAAAGGTTTGTTTGAAAGCCTTTTTTACGGTTGATTATTTTTGTAAAGACAACATTTGATGGGCTCCCCGGGATCTTTAAAGATGAGTTTTAACACCTCTGTATATGTCAATAAAGACCTGGTTTGACAACCATTAGAATGGGCACTGTGTTTTTCGAAGGGTATCCCTAGTAAGCTGCATGGGCAGAGATCACCCTCGCAAACTTCTGGAAGCAGCCCTGAAATATGGCAGAAACTGCTCAGGTCAACAAAGAGAAACAAAAATTACCCATAGCAGGCGTCCAAAAGGGGGGGGAAAGGGTTAAAGATGAATGAGGAAAATACAGATGTTTGGCACATGGCCACATTTGTCTCATGCAGATGTTTAAATGTTCTTCAATGCCTTCCCCTTCGTGTTTCAGGTCTGCCATGCGCTGAGTAACGTGGGGCAGGACAGAACCTCCTGGCAGCTCCGAGCACAGAGGTTGGTGGGATTGAGAGCTGCTTTTCCAGTGGGGCCAAGGGAGGACTTTGACTGGCCTGGTGCCTGCCTGCAGATGGAACAGCTCATAACCTGCTGGTCGGGTGAAGTTGAGCATGTAGCCAGACAAAACCAGGAGGATGAGGAGAGAAGGGAGCAAGCGATGCCTCAGGATGGGGAGCCTGGTGAGGGAGGCCAGGATGATGGTGGAGAGGGTCAGGTCGGAGTGGCAGTGGCAGTGCAGGAGGTTGCTTATGGTGCGGATGAGGCAATGGAGGTGTCAGTGGAAGGTGACGAGGGTGAAATGCAGCACGTCTTAGGTGGGGACCAAGTAGCGAGATTGAGAGAAGAGCTTGAAGACAGACTAGAGGGTGATGCTGCAGCACTAATGGAAGAAGAAATGGACCACAGAAGGGTTTTTATTGCCAACGAGGGCCGAGACGCAGTTCTTAATCACCAAGAAGACTTGCCAGACCACAGGAATCTGGGTAATGGGCAACATGTAGAGGCAAGAAGTCCAAGCCCACCACCAGCGCTGGAATGCATTACCCTGCCTACAGGCCACATTGCCCATGTAAACTCGGTCCTCCTTCTTGGGGGAGAGGGGAAGGTCTGTGCCACAGCTTCCAGAGACTGGAACGTAAAGCTCTGGGATCTGGAGCTGGGCTCGCTGCTGCAGACGATGGGACGGCAGGGTGATTTTAGCAGCCATCGAGGCTGGGTCTGGTGCCTGGCATCTCAAGGACCTCTGCTGGCCTCAGGGGGCTTTGACAGCACTGTGAGGCTGTGGGACCTGCAGGCAGGAGGTGCAGATAGGGCCCTCATCAGGACCGGGGCTGCTGTTCTCTGCTTGTCCTGTCAGCCCGACATGTTGCTGGCTGGTACATTTGACAAGCGGGTCAGCATGTATGACACCAGAGGTGAGAGGGATTTATATGAAGCTTGTTTTGCTGTGTAGAAAGTGCACATGAGAGTCAAGAGTTTAGTAAATACAAAGCAGTTATATAGACAAATGACTTGCTGAGGTGGGTTCTGTCTGTTTTTGTCCACAGCTGCTGCACCACTGGTGAAAAGCATCCGTATGCACAGTAACGCCGTAATGTGCCTCTGTGCAGATGACAAATACATCATCTCAGGGAGCAAAGACTGCACTGTGGCTGTCTATGACCGCAGAGCGGGCAAAGGCTTGAAGAGACTTCGGGTAGATTTCTTGAAGAGCTTGTGTTTTTGTAAACATACTCATATCCATCTTTACACCAAGCCACTAACTCCACCCACCCCACCACTTTACAGCTGAGCTCCTACCTGCTGTCCATGAGCTACAGTGGCTGTGAGGTATGGGCAGGAGACAACGGCGGCATGCTCCACTCCTTTTCCATGCAGGCGGGGACCTTAAAGCCTGTCTCTCAGTTTGATGTGGGGCACACAGCTCTGATCACCGGCATCCACAGATCCCCCGGTAGCCTCTACACCTGTTCATCTGATTGCACCGTCAAGGTGAGACAATTCTTCGTTACCTTAAGCTGCTGGAACTTTGCTACTGAATGTCTTGAAAGTCTTGAATTGTAATTTTTCCGCCTGCGCTACAGGTTCATATACCATGCGCGCCTCCAAGGACGTTAAGCACCCTGCACTATCAAACTGGAGTCCATGGGGTGAGTGCTGTGCAGTCAGTCAACACTTTGTTTATATAGCAACTTTTTTATACAACTTCGTAGCTCAGAATGGTTTACAGAACAACAACATGTGCAAAAAAAAATCAACAACCCAGCAAACACACACCGTATAAAACTTGTCAGGAAGCCAATGCAGAGACTTTAAAACTGGTTTTATATTTGCTCTCTTTCTGGTTTTGGTTAGGATCTGTCAGTTTTGCAGTAGCTGAAGGGGTTGCTATAGTTTCCTTTAGGGAGGTCATACTCTGATCAAGGATGACACATTTTGAACTGTTTTGGAGGGATTCAATGTTAGTGATCGCAAAAGTACTGACAGTTCTCTCTTTCTGGGCATCAGTGATGATATTTTAACTTTATTAATGTGGGCTTCTTTTCATCGTTCATGTGTCTTCTCTCTCCCTCTTGTTTCTCTCACTGCACTGTGTGAAAACTTTCAGCTGAGCGTGGAGGCCGGAGTCCTCGCTATAGCGTCCGGTGACGTCAGGGTGCAAGTGTGGAGGCCTCGAAAATGAAGTGGAAGCAACTACATGGTAACAATGAAAACAGGAACCCTGGTCTTTGTTGTGTTGTTCTGTGTCTCTATACAAATCAACAAAGGTAAATAAAGAAGCTGCCGTTGCCTGGAAGGCTGGCTACATCAACAGTCATGTAAGTGCTGAGTAAACAGACAAACACAGAAGGGAAGAAATGACGACAGATGATGACCAATCAGGTTATTTTTAATTTTTAAGTGAACTACTTTGAAATGACTGCTTTCAGTTGTTTAATTTAGTTGTAAATATGTGGTGGAAGATATTTCAGGTATTTTAGTCTTGTCACAAACCCTCACATTATATTTTTATTTTTTTTTATTTCTATCTTGTTTAATCCACTGAAAAGATTTTTCTATGGAAGGAAAAGCAAATGTTTATTTTCATTGTTTACCCCAAAAATGTTCATTTTGTGCCAAAACTTACTGAATCACTCTTAAGGACACTTTAAGTGTTCAAACAGCACTGAAACCACAGACATGTAAATGTTTGTAATTATAATACCTTTATTGAATCTCATATGTAAACTGGCATTATACAAGAATAATTACTTAAACATTTCATGTACAGTAAACTAATTATTGCTCTGTGACAAACTGATTGTATTTCTATAGCTATTTAATTGAATACAGTCAGGAAAGTGTTATTATTTGTGTCCATATGCTGTGTGTGTTTTTACTATTGACCAAAAATCCATTTACAAACATGCTGAGAGACTGTTTCCACAGAAGACAGCATTAAAAGTTCTAAAAATCAAGTGTGTGGATTCTTTCGTGATTTTCCAGATGAGAACATGTAGTATCTTTTACACAGTACATGTTCGTGGTTGCGTTCTCGGACAGAGGTTTTCCTCACAGCGCCGTCTGGGAGCTGTCAAAGAATCAAACAGGTCTTCTTATCTTTGAAGGGATTGGATGAAGCAGCTATGCCGGTAAGCAGGGGGTCACTGCGCCTGTGCTCCTGACAGTACTGGACTAAATCTGCTGCTGTCAGAGAGATCTGCAGGGGCAGAGAGTTGACTGGATTTTAGACACAAGTATGAAAAACTGTTGGACAGTGAGCATGGGAAGTTTTTATAAAAAATACATATATATATTCAGTACTTTGGCAATTTAGCAATTAAAGTATAAAATGATAGTCATGTGTGATACTAAAAATTAATATTGATCCAATACCAGCTAAATACAGATACCGATACCTTTAACTTATGTCGGCAGCTTATGTCGGGAGGCCAGTGTGTCATAAATTCAACCAGATGAATCATACATTTTCAAATTCTGAACACATCTTAATGAACACTGAAATGACCATTTCAGATTTCTATGTATTTTGTAACTGTTTTTGGGAGACCTGGGATGTAAATGTGTATGTGTCTAAAGCACTCTGAATCTGCTTCTGTTGTTTAAATGTGCCGCAGGCTTTAAATAAAATTGATGTGACAATAAACACAAAAAGATTAAGACATTATTCATAGTGCATGTTTAAATTATAGGTTTTTTTTAACCCCCCCCCCCCCCCACACACACAAAAGTATTAATTTAATACAATTGAGTGATCTACATACTGAACGTAGAGGATGGAAACAAATACCGACCATATCATGCTTAGTCTCAATCCAATACCGATACCAGCATTGGTATCAATACAATTAATTTTTATATCAATCTGCCCACCTCTATAAAGCAAATTAGCAGATGATTTAGATTCTTACCCACCTTGAATCTCTCCATGCTTGCCTCTACCCGAAGTTGATCCACTAGTTTTTGTGCCTGAATAACACTGCTGCTGCTGCTGCACATCTTTCCTGACATTGTCTTGGGAGCAAAAACAGAAAAACAACAAAAACATACTCCTATGACACCAAAGTTAGCAGCAGAAAAATGAGTTACACCAGTCACTTACCTGATCTAAACAGCTCAGGTTATACAGGAGCATCTGCTCAGAGATGCTCCTGGCTTTCCCTTTTGACCTGTACCCTCCTGTTTGTTGTTTTTTAATTCGCTGTTGGGGCCAGTTCAAAGACTGTGATAGAAAAGGTCAGACAACACAGTGGTGGAAATGTCATAAACATCACATCTCTTCACAGGCACTGCTGGAGGCTGTGCTTCAGAGATGTGGTCTGCCCTTAAACCAAGATTATGCACTTTGACAGAAGATTTTATGTTATATTATATTTAGGATTTTCTCTAATCCACACAGTGTCAACAGTATACATACAGGCCCAATATGTACATACACTCATTTAAATCTTTTAACAAGTAGCGCTGAGGGTTCTATAATGTCTTATGACTTGAAATAGTCAAGGCCTGTTAATTTCTCATTAGTGATCATGATTGACTGCAACTGGTGGGTGTAGCATAAAAAGGATTTGCGATTAGCTCTCACTGGACTGACCGACACTCAAAACAATGGGAAAGTTCACGGAATTCTGTAGAGATCTAAGAAGGGGTGGAAAAAAATCTAAAATTTTACTATTTGTCTATCTGCGGAAGATGTGAAAGAAAAACACCGTGAAGACCACAAAGGTAGAGTAGCTAAAAAAAAAAAGGGCAACCTGGCAGTAATGCAACAGTTTTGGATGCAAGCTGCCGTTAAACTTGACTGAAGAAGAAGAAGAAAAGGGCAACCTGGATCACATTTGTCCCTTTTCACTTTCCGTAGAAGTAGCTCGTTTCTCACAGGCGATCCATGCGACGTTTAGGGGAATACAAATCTTCAATATTTGTTTTTTTGCGCGTAGTGACAGCCGTTTATTGCTCAGCCTTCTTCATCACCTGACGCCTCTTCAAGAACAGGTATGTCTTCATTTCTCTTTTAGATGTTAAGTCGCGATTCAAGCTAGTTTGACTCAGAGTTAGCTTCTAGCTAACGTCTATCACATGGATTTTGTATGTTTTCATTGATGTTGTAGCACCTGCTAAACGCCATATGCTCTTTTAATAAAGGCTAGTCCCTATACAAAGACATTTATTCCAAAAATAAGTGGAATTTTACATCTAAACATAGGGTTTTTAAAGTTTAGATATTTTGTGGCTGTGAAATCGATGTTAGTTTTTTGTTTAAAGCTGATCAAAACCCATGTGATGGCCAGAAGTCGCATTTACATTTAAAATATTCATCTGCTTACTCTCACATTAGCATGTGTTGTCACGAAAAGTCACCAGATATGTAATCCTCAAACAAAGTATTAGAATATCCTGATAAATCAATGCCCAGTCACCTCTCACGACAGTGTTGGTATTCATAAAATCAGACAGCTGATTTTTATAAGCTCGCAATATGTTTATGTGAAGTCTTAACAAGTAAAGTTACAGCATAGTTGAGTAAACTGTGCAGTATGTCTCTGTGCAGCAGATCTATAGCAATGTAACTGCAGTACAGTGCTGTGGTAATAAATATACATAGTTGTTTTTTTTTGTTGCACGCCTCAAAAACTTATTAAAGTAATTTTCCTCCACTTCAACTACGGTATGAAATTAAAGAGATTTTGAGCCACCAGAGACGAGAATATACAACAGACCTGCTATCTGCTCATTTCCAGCTCCATGTTTTTACTTATGGGCTTTACTAGAGTATCTTTATGTAAATAACAGTTAAAATAATCATTTTTTTATCTTGTACCTGGCCTCCAATGCTTCCCTAAAAACCTGCTTTCTTCTGATTGGCTGCCCTCGGAAACAGAAGGTTTCAATAGCAGATGGGAGGAGCTGTTGTTCACAGAGCCAGAGCTGACCAAATTAATTAATCTTGGGAAGTGCACTGCGGTGGTGAGTTCTCAGAACCTGCTCTTTGAGCAAAAACAATGACAACATCACGGAACGTAAGTTTGGATAACATCATAGAAAGCTCACGGCTCTCCAACGGGAGATTGAGAGACCAGTGTTGGACTGTTAGAACAGCTTTGAAATTCATATGAGTTGTTCGCACTAAAGTAAAAACCACATCACTTCATGCGGAGACCCCTTCGGCGCCAGCTGCGGCCTCAAGGCTGGAGCTGAACAAAACACCCTGATAACACTGTGTTTAGACTGTTCCCCCCCATTCCATGCAAGGCCACCTGGGTTGGCTGGAAGACTGTTTACTTAGCCTGGCAGGGCGAAGGACACTGTCTCAGCTGAACTCTGGACGCACACACACACACACACACACACACACACCCCTCCTACCACAGACGCACAACACCCACAACACACACACACACACATACACTGATATGCACACACTGATCCCCCCTCCCTTTCCAAACGCCTTCGATGCTTGTGCCCTACCGGGGAAGATGGCAGTCGACTGGACCAGCGCAGACATGCTGCAGGACCGGATGCGCTGTCTACACCGGCTCTCTCTTACCCTTTACCCGCCCCTGTTGCTTGTCTTGTGTTTCTATGGTGTATTGATAGTCATGTGCTTTTTGTGCTGAGGTGTTTTTTCTGTTATCAAACTGTTCTCCCACTAGGAGCTCAGTCTGAGTGGAGTTTTTTTTCTCCTCCTCTTACCTCATGTTATGTATTTTCGTTGTTTTTTTCCTATCAGCCTACCTTTCTGACATGTCTCCCCAATGTGATGTTTGTGTAAAGTTGGTCAGAAGGTTCCTTTGTAAGTGCGCATGCGCCATTAGCGTGCTGCCTGCTGTAACCCTAATTTCCTTCGGGATTAATAAAGTATTCTGATTAAGACATCCTCCCTCACTGGCATCATTCAGAGGCCCAAAAAGAAATAGCAGAAACAAAGCAGTCTATAGTCTCCACTTCTGGTTCACACGGATTACTTTTACATATGTTGACCTTACTATGAGGTTTTTAGCACTGTAATGAATGATGAATATAAAATCAGGAAAACTTCAGGAGGTGCACTTTAAAGGAATCTGCAGGATGGACATCCACCTTAGAAACATGCTGCTAGCCTTTCCAGGAATTCAGTTACTCAAATTTTTACTAGGAATCCACTAACTTTAGTTTCTTTACATGCAAACACTCCAGTAACCAAATGTTTCAGGAAAATGTTCTTCCCAACATTTGCACATTCAAATGAATCTCATCCTGAATAAGCTGGATCTGCAAGTGTGTGTTTTATTTATTTATTTATTTATTTATTTATTTATTTAACCTAAAATATGCTGAAAACCTCCAAGAAGGCCCATCTCTGTGGAAATCTCAAAGAGCCTCTGTTTGGTGATTGTCTTTTGCAGAAAAGATGGCAGACCAGGCCCCCTCAGTTGCTATGGAGGCTGTCCTGAAGCCTAGCTGCGATCTCCCCGAGGACATGCCGAAAATCAGAGGTTACGACTTCAACCAGGGAGTCGATCTCCATGCAGTGCTGAAGTCCTACCTCACCACGGGCTTCCAGGCCAGCAGCTTAGCCCTGGCTATCCAGGAGATCAACACCATGGTGAGAGGAATGCCTTTGAGGGGGTTATTAACTTTCAGTAAACGACTACAAGGTGTCTTGGCCCACACGTTCTCCTGTCTTATAGTAGTTTTGGTTTTGCTTGCCCAGGTTATGCTATGTGGATCTTTTGGCATTTCTTCTTCCACTGCAGTACAAGAGGAGTCCTATTGATGGAAATCATAGGGATCATATTGATATGAATATGTCACTATTTTAAAAAAACAAAACAAAGAACCCTAAAAGCTTTTAACTTCCTGGAGTCTTGCTCCACTGATACTGAGAGACTTTTACTCGCCCTCCTCATTCAAAAAACTTATCAGTCACTCCAGACTGGGCACATGTGTCACACCCACAATCCAACCTGACTTTTCTACTGCGTTATGTTTACCTCAAAACTTGGAGATGGAGTGTAAAATTACAAATTTGTTGACTTTGATGAAGTTGACATTGAGCCAGCGGTGGTTTTGGAGCCAGCTGCTCGACGCTGTTGTGTTTGGCCTCACTTGTAAGGTGTGGTTGTTGCCACAGTGATCCACGTTGTATGTTTGCAATATCTATTTATCTGTTGCTCAGCAATGATTTTGACCATCACAGATCGAGAAGCGTCTTGAACCAGTGGAGGAAGGGGAAGGAAATGAGTCGGAAACCCCAAAGTCAGGCTGCACCATCTTCCTGGGGTACACCTCCAACCTCATCAGCTCCGGAGTCAGAGAAAGCATCCGCTATTTGGCGCAGCACAAAATGGTACAAAATGACACGTCTTATGTAACGATCCACATAAGCTCTAAATCAGTCACCCGGTTTCTCAGAATCTGTTCCTCTGCGTCAGGTGGATGTTATTGTAACCACAGCAGGAGGCGTGGAGGAGGATTTGATCAAGTGCCTGGCTCACACCTACCTGGGAGACTTCAGCCTCCCTGGCAAGGAGCTCCGCCTGAGAGGCATCAACAGGTTTGTTAGCGCTGCTGTGTTTTATCTGTAAGCTAACATGTAAAATAAAAATATTAATAGTAAAATATAAAACTGTTTGTCGTGGCCACCCTTCAGCTTCTGTTTTAGCTCATCCCCCTGGCTTTCTTCTGTTTGACTTCCCCTTTTGAAACTTTTTTTAAACAGTGTAGATGAACAGCATATAAGGCAAAGCAATAATAGGTCCACTTTAAAGAAAACATGCTTATTCGCCTTAGAATCAATGCCACTGCACAGAGAGGAAGCAGTGCCAGTAAACTAAATGGATTGGACTGGTGCTTATATAATGCATGATATAATCCCACCTTTCCACAAGCCTCATTCACCCACACACACACATACACACACACACATTCATACAGTCCTTTTATCGATGCCTAAGCACTAATATCTACCAATCACACACTCACACTCTGATCACCCCAATGGATGCACTGAAGGCAACTCGGGCTACAGTTTCTTACCCAAGGACACAGTGTTTGACCTCATAGTCGTGGACAAGTTTCTTATTCTTTATGCTTTCATCACAAATGGCACATGTTGTGTTGGTGCAAGGATTTGACAGGCAGGTGCTGATCTGTGACCTTGGTTCACATAGGAAAAACCTGCTGATGTATTGATTTTGTCCTTGTCCGTCTCCCTCTGTCTTCACTGGCTGTAGAATTGGTAATCTGGTGGTGCCCAACGATAACTACTGTAAATTTGAAGACTGGCTGATGCCCATCCTGGACCAGATGTTGCTGGAGCAGAACACAGAGGTGAGTCTCTCCCTGCACCCCAAAGCCTAATGCAACAATAGTTGTTAGTCTTATGCACTTTTAGGTTTAATATGTAATATACAACTTTATAAAGAATTAGGAATAATAAGAAGTTTCTGCGATTCCAGGGCACCCGCTGGACTCCCTCCAAAATGATCCACCGACTTGGAAAGGAGATAAATAATACAGAGTCTGTCTACTACTGGGCATACAAGGTGGTTATGCACCTCGTATTCTCACTTGCTTTGCTTACTTTGAACTGTCTGTGCTGTTTGGTGGCTAAATGTGCTGTTGTGTTGCGTTTCAGAATAACATCCCGGTGTTCAGCCCCGCTCTGACAGACGGCTCTCTGGGCGACATGATCTACTTCCACTCGTATAAGAACCCCGGCTTGATTCTGGACATCGTAGAAGGTTTGTAGCAGCGCCGATGTTGCTGGCTAAAACGCAGGTTTTTAGTCGTTTCGTGTTGCTAATGCGCACTTTATTTT